CCCCGGCCCCACGCTTGGGACCTGGGACTGAGCGGACGGGCTGGGCTGGACTGGAGGGGTATATGATCCTAACTGCAACCTTTAAATGTCACCCTGTTTGGGCTGTGGGAGATGCTTCCAGCAAGTTATGAGTTGTTGACCTTTCCTTCATTTTGTCAAAATTTGCTCTGTCCAAGAGAGCATCTAAAATTTTAAAGTTGCTTATGATGGTATGACAAAAGCAAGGGGAATTTCTCTGAAGCTTGTAAATGTATATTGTCATGGCATTCTCCTTGTTCTGCTAATATCCTTGCCTTATATAACATAGCTTGCACAGACTGCTCTGTGGGTTGCTGCTGAGGTGAGGATGAGTTGCAGGGGGGAGGGAAGTCTTGCTTGAGCAGTAGCCTGGAACAGGTGCGATGCCCAGCCAGCCTGAGTCTGCCAGTTTACCTGGCTTACTGTCAGCTCCTTTATCACTTCTAGAGTGCAAGATTTCATAGAGCTATGCCTGTTTTACCAGGCATTTTTTTTGAAGTTTCAAGATTTTTGTGCTGTGAGTTTTTTTTTTGTTTGTTTGTCTTTTTTTTACCCTTATGAGTACTTTTGGTGATGATTGAGATGTGGCTGCTGTTGAGGTTTGTGAAGAGAACTGATCCCCCATACTGCTCTCCCTTTGGCCTTATTCAGTATTTATTTTTTGTAAGGAAATGAAACAAACATGATATTTGAAGTTTATTCATAAAACCAAAAACCCTTTTTAAGACAAAGTCCTTAGTTATAAAGCAAAAATTAAAAAACTATGTTGATTGAATTATGACTTATTTTCAGTTTAAGAGTAGGAATAGAAAAGTACCAAGTGCCTTTACGTTCTGCAATAGTAGCATGTCTATGCTGAGCTAATGATTTGCTTCCTTTGTAATGTTTGGTATCATCATGTAATTATTTTTTGTTTGGTATCTCGTTCCATTTCCAGTTTTGAGTTTGTGATTTTCAACGGTGTGTGAATGCTACTGTAGATTTGGAAGTATTCACCATGACAAATACACAGGTATGTTAATAAACATTCACATACACTTAAATAAAAATCTGTCTAATCATTTTATGTTACATGTGTGACATTTTTTCCTGGCATGTTTGATTGGTCAGTTTTATGGATGGGCATGGAAAGAGTAAATCTCATTATTCTAAATTATTCAAAAGTAAAACTTATTCTGTGTTAGGTGGGTAAAGAATTCATATTTTTGTCTTTCTACATCCACATTGTTTTTGTCTCTCTTTCAGTTGTGGTTCAGAGGGATTCGGAGCTCCAAGTTCCGTCATGTTTATGGGGCTCCAGCCAAAAGAGATCGTTGTTATGAAAACATGAAGATTACAAAAAATGCCCATGACTCTCAGTTTTGTGCTGTGAACCCAAAGTTTGTTGCTGTTGTGACAGAAGTAGCAGGTGGAGGAGCATTTCTGGTTTTACCCATTGACCATGTAAGTAAATATTTTCTCTAAAATTCGATTATTATTCTCACTTCTTCACATTTACTTTCCTTTTCCTCACTGGAACAGACGGGTCGCCTTGATTTCAATACAAGTAGAGTAACAGGTCACAGAGGACCCGTTCTTGACATTAAATGGAATCCATTTAATGACAACATTATAGCTTCATGCTCAGATGATTGTACTGTAAGTTGGGTTGTAATTATGTAATAAACAATCATATTATTCTATCTTAATAAATTTTTTAACATTGTGCTTTGAAATTATTTTGTAGATCAAGCTATGGTACATTCCTGACACAGGGTTGTCAATGCACCTAACTGACTGGCTGATTGATCTCCATGGCCATAAACGACGGGTTGGCTATATTGAGTGGCACCCTACTGCAGAAAATATTCTTGTCAGCGCTGGCTTTGATCATCTAGTGGGTTATCTTCGGTTATTGGCTGCGTGCTTTACTAAACTCAGCGAGCAGCTGTTCTAATTCCTGCCTCTAATTTTAGATGATTGTCTGGGATATTGGACGTGGTGAAGCAATAACTGTGATTGATTGTCACCCAGATGTTATTTACTGTATGTCTTTTAATCGGGATGGAAGTTACATTGCAACAACATGCAAAGACAAGAAATTGCGGGTTATTGATCCACGCACAGGAATTGTTAAATCTGTATGTTACAATGAAAATATTATTTGTTTCTAATATTGTTGTGTATTTTCCTTTTAACTTTTTATTTTCAACCACAGGAAGGTATGTGTCACGCTGGTATGAAAGCAAGTAAGGTCACATACCTGGGCAGCACTGGGCGCTTACTCACAACTGGATTTTCTCGTCACTCTGACCGTCAGCTTGCAGTCTGGTCACAGGACAATTTGTCACAACCTTTAACTGTTGAAAATGTCGATTCATCATCAGGTGTTCTATTTCCTTATTATGATCATGACACAAGAATAGTTTTTCTTGCAGGAAAGGTATCAAATCAATATGATATGTTAGAAGTAACTGGATTAGTTCTTTAGTCTAATTTTTGTACATTTTTAAATACTGTTTTCTGTATTTAGGGTGATGGTAACATTAGATATTATGAAATTGTTGATGAGGCCCCATGGTTACATTACTTGAACCAGTTCTTATCGGGGTCCCCTCAGGTAATATTAAAACATTCACAAAAACATTTATTTATAGTCATTTGTTGATATTTGTATGTAATGTCCAATCGTGATTCAATTTTTACTTTCAGCGTGGACTTGGATTCATGCCTAAGAGAGGGTGTGAAGTATCACACTGTGAAATATTTCGGTTCTACAAGCTGCACACTACTAAAGGCATGTGTGAACCTGTGTCAATGATAGTGCCCCGAAAGGTTGGTATCATTGTATGAAAAAATGAAACTATTGAAACTGTTTTCAACCTGTTTATTAATGTTACATGTTTATTGTTTGTAGAGTGATCAATTCCAAGATGATCTATTCCCAGACACAGCAGCGCCAGTGCCTGCAATGACAGCTGCCGAATGGATCACTGGAAAAAATTCTATGCCTGTCCTTATGTCTATGAAAACTGGTGAGCTTCTATTTAGTTGACAATTGTTCAGTTGATTTTGGGTACATCTCAAAGCAAATACCTTTGCATTTCCAGGAGTAACTATTCGAACACACAAGCCAAAAGTGTATAAACCAGGTGATAATGTTCTTCCAATCATGGCAGAGAATAATATTCGGAAGAAGTTTGCTTTCCTTTCCCAGGAAACAGTTCCTGATTATAGAACTGTGGATGTAAGTAAAAATGTTTTATCTGTAGAGCTATGCATACTTCTTTCTATTAGTGTCTAACGGGTTTTAGCATAGTTTTACTTTACTGAAATTTGAATTAGATTTGTGAATGAGCATGATGTTTTTACAGTGTCAAGTTTGTGATGTAGTCAATTCTGTTCTTTTATTGTCTTTATAAATTTCAATAGTATATTGTATGTGTGTGTGGCTTGTAGCAGAAAGCTGGTAGTATGGATTGCTTGGATTCCCCCTCCCCTCTACATCAAGTCACCGTACCTCCAGTGCCTGACTTGTTGGACAATGGTACAGGAACAAGTCGCAGCATTCTTCAAATGGTCAGTGTGTTGTTTGCTTGTAATAGTTTTTCTCAGTCTGTAGTCTTGCTAGACAGTTTGTTGTGTATTGTATTAGTCTTCAAGCCGGTTTTCCTTCTTATTGAATTATGATCTTGTTTGAGACTTAGGTTATTTAGTATTGGGTTTGAGTTTAGGGGAAAGCTTTATTATTGATATTAACTTTGTTCTTGTAAATATCATTTTTAGTTTTTGTACAAACTTTCAATATTTCTTATTTTAGCTCTCACCAGTTGATGAAAAGAGTCAAAAGACATCCAACAATCAAACTACCAAATTTCAACAAATCCAGCAAATGTTTTCTGGACAGGTAATGTGTTCCCATAGCTGTTAAAGTCACATTAAAAAGTTTGACTTTTTACAAATCTGGCTTTGTCGGTGTTCCCTTCTTCTCCACAGGTGAACAATGTTAACCACACCAACGAAAATACTCTTAATTACAAGAAAACTTCCCCTTATGGAGAAAATAGGGAGAAAGAAAAGGAGAGGGAAAAGGAAGCCAATGGAGAGATAGAGCACAGTCCAAAGAATTTGTATCAGGTTGGTTTTTGTGCCATTAGATTCATCTATTCCTCTCACCATCAAATTTTCTAATCGTTTTCATTGAACTTTTTAAATAGTTGCAACGTGCCTACAGCCAACAGTGTGAAGAGTTGAAACTTTTGCGCAAACAAGTTGTTGCTCGTGATAGGAGGATCCAAGAACTTGAGCAACAGATTGCTCAACTCACTGGAGCCCATACACCCTTAAAAGAACTGTCATCAGCAATTCAAACAGTTCATAGAGTTGGCCGTTGATTTTTAGAAAATTGTGTATCAATTGTTCAAGAGACTTTCTTTTCTTCTTGATAACATATATCTAAGATATATGTTGCCCTCATTGTGTACATCCAAACAACTCAAACAGTGTATCAGTATTTTATGATGCTCCTATTGAATGCAATTGAATATTCACACTACGGTATTTATTATGTTTTAGAGAGTGGAAAGAGTTGCAATAGTTTTTCAACTATGTATGAAATGTTACAAGATTCTTGGAATGTTTTATCTAAAGTCTAGATAGCTGCTCCTCCAGTAGCAGTAGTGAACAAAAATGTTTCTGTAACAATTTGTCTTACCACTGCTGTGGAAAAGGTGTCCTTCCAATTTTGTTTGCATATCATGGCACTTTCAATCAACTGTTCATGTTGTTTTGATCACCTTAAGAAACTTTTAATTTTTTGACCTTTAAAAGATGTCATGGTGTTTACTACATTATCATGATTGCTTTGCTGATTCATGGATCAGTTCAAGATTTTTCATTGGTGCTGGCTCTTGCAATGGTGACAGGTGCTGGGTTTTTGATTGCTTTTGTAAACATTGAAGGCAGAATATTACTCATCACTGTTAGTGAATTTTGGAAGTGCAGGTTGTTGTTGTTTTTTTTGTTGTTTTTTTGTTTCCCAACAATTTTAATGTATTGGTTTTGGCAATGCTTAAGTGTTGTCCTTTTTAAAATCTTAGATTCAAATTTTGTTTTGCCTGGAGCTACAGTATTTTCAGGGGTTCAACAAATATTTTGTATGGAACAAAAAGTCATGTGTCTTTTTCCTATGTGTTTTTATTTATTCTTTATTAACTCTTACTTTCCTGTTTTTGCATTTGTTTAAGTGAGGTTACTATGTTGTTAGAGAAGCCATCTTTCTATTCTGTAAGGCACTTCCCAATAATGAGGACTATGAAATTTGCTGTCTTATTTGAACTGATGATTCTGTGATTGCATCTGCTCTTGTAACCCCATTCATAACAGTTGTAGGTAGTAAAAAAATGGTGGAATTACTGTGTTACCAATGATTAGTGCTGTGGGTGTAAGAGTATTTACCCTTTTGTTAGTAATTTTTGTTTTCCTTTTATGTTGGAACATAATCGTTTTAATTTAATGTGACTAGTCTCAGCATTTTATGGACATCTGTTTTCTTTTTCTCCTTGTTTGTTTTGTGTGTATATGTATAGCTATAGATGGAAATTTTGACTCATTTTTAAGTGTACCAGCATCAATTTCTTATCCTTATTTTTTTTTTCACTTCTATAATTTTTTACATTTTTTCTCGAGTAAAGCACTTTACTGTACAGTATTGATGACCTTAACTTTACAGCAAAATTTTGCCAAATAAGCAAATCTAAAATAAATACTGTCTTCCTTCATCCAATTGACGAATTTCTGCCAGTACTTATGAAGGGTTAGATAAGAATCTGTTATATATGTATTATGCTGTGTGATGCCAAATTTTGGAGAAAGTGTGTTATATCATGTAATTATTGCTCTCCCAGATCTCAAACATTTCATACCCAAACAAATGTCTGTGAATAATGTCTTTGTTTTGTATCTAGTTGAAATATGTGTCTAGATTTTAATCTTTTAATGCTTGAAATGTCTTGCCTTTGTATTATCTTGCCTGTTAACTACATTTGTGCAAAATGGTTATGTGTGCCATGCCTTTTGCAAAAATCATGCAAGAGTATGTTTTACTTGCAAGTGAACCATTTTTATGTGCATTGTGAGACCCTTGACTAGTGCTATCTTTCAGTATTTTCTATGAACTATACAGGAATGAGGTATAGTTTATGCTAAAAACAGAGAGCATTTTTCAATCTTCTTCACGTCATCTTCCTGTGACTTGTTTTTACTGATTCTGTTTTAGACATCCTTATTATGCCCAGCATATTTTGAAACTGTCCTGTGTCTGTCATACAAATTTTCAAAGTATGTACTCACTGTTTGTTTCATTATTGTACATAGCAGCATTTAACTGTGTATTTGGTTTCCTCAGTAGTAGAAAGCAACTTTCTGTGTGTGTTTGAGTAGTGTTTTGTGCGTGGACTCCCGATTTGAGTGATAAATTTGCCTGTTCCGTTCAAACCAAAGTCAAAGTTGTCTTCAGTCTTTTTTTCCTTTTTCAGTTTTTCTAGTGATGCCTAAATTTTTATTTATAGTTGACTTTGTGACATTTAGCAGAGTGAATGAAGTGAATACAGTATCAAAATGAATCCAGGGTCCAAGAGGTTCAAATTTCCCTGAATTATTAGGGGCCATTCAGATACCACGTACCCGGGAGACCAGGAGGGGATGCTCGCAAACCACCATTGAACCTCATAGGGACTCCATGATATTTGTACCCGGCACACATATCATGGGGTCCCATGAACTCCAGTGGCGATAGTGAACCTAATGGGAACCCACAATATTTGTGCCCCCACCGCCACAGCACGTGGTATCTGAACGGTCCCTTAGGTCACTTGTAATTTTTTGTAGGGACTAAGGGTAGTACAGTAACATAATTCTATGCAATAATGGCAAGTTAGCATATGATAGATTGAGGAATTGTGCTATATTTTTGTCACAAATTGCACAACTTCACCAGTCATAGTTAGTTGTGAATTTTAAAACTTTTGTGTGATTTCACCTTGTAATCATTAAAACATGCATATGCTGTATGCTTCCTGTAGTACAATTAGTTTACATGGCCTGAAGTGGACCGCACTCCTTTTTGAGCTGGTGACAACGTAAAGAACTGACTAGGCTAGCCAAGCCAGCTAATCCAGGCGAATCCAGGTCAGGGTTATGGTCAAGGATTGATTTGTTAAAAAAAATGATCATTAATAAAGCATTTTGTGAATTATCTAGGAGAGAAATGAAAGAACAGTGTTAAATGTAGCTTAATTTAGCAGATCTACCACTCATTTGCTGTTGCCTGTCAATGTTCTAAAAGTGTGTGAAAGATTCATTTAAGTAAAAAATATGTATACTGTAGGCTTGTGATAGTTGTGCTACATTCGAGCTGATTCTATCATTTACAAGTAAATGTGATAGTTATGATAATTGGCTGGAATTAGAATTGTTCCTTAAAAAAATATTTTGTATCCAATTTCTTGTAACAGATGTCATTCCAAATATAGATACAAATTTGTTCATACTGTTGTAATTTTTCCATTTTTTGAGTCATGCACTGCTCTCCGAGTTGTAGGTACTCCAGTTACGTCCAGTGTAATAACTTTTGAAATGAACCCCGCAAGGTGCCCGATTACCACTTCATGATGACCTTAGAGGTGTGAACAGACAATGGAAAGGATACCCGCAAAACTTGTGTGTTCAAAATTTGGTATGCACTCAAATAACTTCAATACATACATATATACCCTTTCTTTATTTTTTGAAATCTACGTAATTTTTTCTACACAAGCCATAGCTTTTAAATGTTAGGGATAAGAACAAAAACCTCAACTACCCTTAAAACAATAGGATATTGAGTTTCTGATAGCGTTTTTGTAAATAACAGAGATCATTACAGGTTGAAGAAATTTAGAGCAGCACAAAACAGAAGATTCGGCTACATCATTATATCAAAGTTATTTTCAAGTTATTTTATGGTAAGAAAACCTCTGCTGTGAGACCATGTATCTACACAATGGAAGGGATGCAGGGACAGTAGAAACAATACAGCAATAACTTCTTAAGGCCAAATATAGCACAGTTTTTGTAATATTCTACATCAGGTATGTAATGGTCCCGAGACAGAGCAGGACAGGCTGTTGCTGACCTTGCTCTCGTTGAATGGAAGTCGTCTCATCTTAGTTTTAGAAGATTGAAATATATTAAGAGAAATAAACACACAAGAATGGTTGACTTCAAAGGGCATTGACATTCATTTGATTCATTATCACAGAAAACACAGGTTGCTGAACATTTCTCCCTTACTACCAGCCTCCTATGAATCTTTGTCAATTTATTTTTAAAACCTATAGTTTATAAGAAGATAAAAGCAACAAGGTGCACTACAATAATTATCAACATGGGCAAAAGAGAAATATTAACTTCAAAACATGTCTTTAAAATCTGTTATTTGGCATGGCCATCAAGAACTTAACAAGAACTTCTGAAGACTATTGCATCAGTTAAAGGTAATTTAAAGCTAGACACCTACAGCCTATGGGAAATATCACAGTCACTCAACAAAAATGATTCTGCATACACAGAATGAACAAGTAAGCTCAAAGAAAGTAAAATTTGACATTAGAGAAAAATATATACTGGATCTCTTTAACCGAGAACTTCACAAAAACAGTGTATTTATTGATTAGGGATTTATGAGCACCCTTGGAGTTGTCCTTTTTTCCTGAGCAGTTTGTTAGACTGTTACTCCTAATACTGATGCAAAACTATGGTTAAAAAGTTACATCTAATACCACCTAATATACAGGGTGGAGTTTAATTTAACTTTTAATAATCAAAATAGTTCTAAGTATCTTTCACTGCAATATTGAATATGGAACTGCCTGTCACAGCTCAGATTTTATTCATTAAAAGTGTAAAACATTGGAGAGTAAAGGAGAGAAAGGAATATAAAATACAAGGAACTGTTTGGCACTAATAGGGAAACCAAGAGGGGACATTGACATTAGGGTACCCACATCCTTAAGTTCACAGGAATTTGATTTACTAAAAATGTATATTCCATTCTACTCCAACCTAATTAATAACTAATCACGTAAAAATAGGCAATGGCAACAGCAATATAGAAACATTCCCCAATGTGAATAGAATAGAATAGAATATTTTTTGTATTATCACATGAAAACAAGCATTTAAAAAATATTATAATCTGCTGAATGGCAATAGATAAACAACACAAATCTGAAAAATATTACAGAGACCAAAATGTTTTATACACATTTCTACACATTCCAATAACCTAGCTCACAGCAGACTGGCTGCTTCATCAAACATTCATAAAAACATAGTTGTATTTTTCTTAAACTTCTCATAAAAATAAGATTATTTGTTTTGTTCCATTTGTGAAAAACAAACTGTGCAGAATATAGACAATTCGTTCCCAGATTCATTTTACTGTATGCAAATTAATGAATGCATAAATTGTTGGACGGCAAATGTACTAAAGCTATGTAAATGAGTCAACTGGAAAACAGAATACATCCCTGAAGGATAACCAACACATAGCATTACATAACAAACGTATTGCAACTAAGCAACACAAACACAATACTACTTGGACTAAACAGTCTGTTTTATTAAAACGTACTTACTTATAAGTACAGAATAATCAGGAGAGAAAAAAGATCTATGTGGGTACAACTCAACTTCAATTCAGTTCAGTTTAGATCATATAATTGAAAGATCAACTCATAACAAAAATAGGTGACTGATTGGTGGTACATACCAATTATCTTCTATAGCTGCAAGCAGGTAGGCACTTATATTTTATATGTAAAACCCTGTACTTGAGGTGAAACAAAAAAATAAATATGTTTCACCACTGTTGAGAGGCACATACACAATCACACATAGAACTTCAAAACAAAACAAGAGAGAAAGCTTAGATAAAATTTAACATGTACGTACACTATTTTTCACCCATTTTGAACTATCACATCCTCTATTGATTTTGAAACACATCTAATACCTGACATAACAGTGCAGCTGAGCTCACTATCAGATGAGATCTGGAATGCTGTTTTGTCTCCCTACAAGTGATGATTGTACTTCCTGAAACAAAACAAAACAATGGATGAATAAAAACCTTGAAAACAAAGGATGTAATAAGCTCATTGATAATACTAATCAAGCATACCTAATGGGAAGTCTACTGGGCTCTTGCAGTTTAATAGATGCCAGTGAGACTCTAGATGACTGATTTTCAGTAGGACTTGAGGACCTTGATGCCCTAGCACTGCAAGGTGCAGTGTGAGAGACAGTTATGTATGATGGTTCATGAACAGGGCTAGAAGATCTGCTGTTTCCAGGACTAGAGTGACAACTAGTCCCACCACGAGGAATCCGACTTTGTCTATTTTCAGACCTATTGAAACCAGCTGTCCTTTTGATAATTTTGGTTCCTACTTGAATGTTTTCAATTCCAAGTGATTCTTGAGACATTGAGCGAGAATTGCTACCATTTGGCTTGTCATTTTGTGGAGTCAGTATAAAACATGAGTGTGGTCTTGGACCTGGATTAAAAGAGCGACGTACTCCTTTAACACCAATAGATGAAAGAGATACTTTTTTGTCCAGAGGACCAGCAGTTGTTTGACTCTTTTCTCCAAGACTATATCGTTTAGATAAAGGTGGGCCGATATTGGTTTTAGATTCCCTTTCCTTATGTTGAGAGTATGAAGGATCAAGAGAACTGTACCTACGATTTGTTGTATCTAGAGAGGGTGCCTTCACGGATGACAGTTTACCAAACGAACTTCGACTAGAACCAGCTCTATTTGTTTGGCCCACTGCAACTGATGTGGATCTAGTTGAAATTTTACTGGGCATATTGTTGCCGATTTTACTTGCAGTCACTTCATATGAGTCATGTGGAGTTTGTAAGTGATTAACTTGAGATGAATTTTCGGGCTTGCCATTTCTAATAACACCACCAATGTTCTGGTCCTTAAAATTATTTCCATCACTGTCATTTCCTTGACCTGAGTAGTAAATCAAACTTCGGCGGTTCATCATCCCAATCTTACTATCTGGTTTTGATAGATTTGACCGAGAAGAGACAGTAGGAAGAATCTTGGCATTGTATTTGGAACCTTCTTTGTTTAGACCTGACGTACTGTCACTGTCATTATGAAAACTTCTTACTGGTGTAGGCTTTGGTAAAAGCGAACTCCCTGCATTGTCTTTTCTTGAATGAGTAGAAGCTTGCCTTCCTATCAAGTTTGAATATCGGAAATCTGAAGTCGAACTTTCTTCAAACAAACGCGAATATCGCTTACTAGTTGAATTTGGTGCACTTCCAGCAGATGTGTGTTCCACAACTTTGCATGAATTCATTGATTTACCATAAGTAAGAGATTTTGCCGCATTTTCCGATGCAGCAGTTCTATTAGCCACCTGAGCAAGAAGAGTTGAGTTCTGAAAAAGTAGTTCACGTAAACTTGGAATTTTTGATACGGGATCAGAATTAATAAAGCTTGCTGAGCTCATCTTTGCTACTGTCAGCTTCTCAGGCAGTGGAACCCCAGCATCAATGTAGAATTCTTCTTCTAAGAGAGCAGGGTACGAGCTGGATAGGAGGGATGATGAGGCTGACGATGCTGACGATGTTGATGATGTGGTTGGAGTGGACACCTCACTGCATCCAGTTGCACTGATAAGGGGCATTTTTGAACCAGAATTAATATGTGATATTATCATGTAAAATTTTGTAACATCTAGGTCAGAGAGATCAGAAAATGGAAGAATTTGTTTAAAAAGAGGTTTTGGAAAAGGTTTGTTAGTTCTGGATGAAATAGACAAGGGAAGAGGTAGCCGACTTCCATGGGTTAATTGTTGAGACCAGCTAGAACATTAAGAGAAAGAATCGTAGGGTTGACGTTAGTACTAATATTGAAAAATGACACAAAAAGAAGAAAAAAAGGATTAGAGGAATGACAGAGGAAAGATTGTGTATACACAATGATTGCAATAGATTTCTTATACCTTTTGTTTGTAGAAGTTGAAGATTCTTTTTTGTTATTGGCTGAATAAGAGCTGAAACTTGTCCCAGGATCTTTTTTGATTTGAGTGAGAGCTCTGTAGTTTGGGACACTGTCATTTCCAACTTGAGAAATACTATTGAAACTAGAATCTGGTTCTTTTCTGAATACTGAAAAGGCACTAAAACTGGGGGCCGAATCTAGAAACATAAACACACACAAAAACTGGACATAATACACTGTAAGTTGTAAATACTTGAGTATTTTTTTATCAATCCAAAACTACTTGGCACTAACCAGATGTTGTTGAAGTAATACTTGCAGTGATTCTAGATTCATTACCAGCATGCCCACCCAAGAGACCGACTGAGCTAACTGCGATGCTACTTGAGATATTTTTATCATTATTGGCGGGTAGTTGAGTTGCTTGCCTTAAATTTGAACAAGAAAGTTTTGGGATCAAAATCGTTATAGGAAGAATTATCAAAATAATTACTGAATATTGTAAAGCAAACCTGAGTTCAGTTCTTGAGACCTCGGGACCTCTTAAAGATACAAGGGTAGCACGTTTCCCTTCACCTAATGTTTTCATATTAACTGTAATGCACAAAATCAAATGGTGAGGGCAGAGTTAGTAAAATAATTGCATTACTCAAGTCAATTTTCTCACCTGTTACTAAACGCCTAGGTTCTTGCACTGAACTTTTCATTTCAATGTTCTGTTCTTCTTGAAATCTAGAAAGATCTTCAGCATCATACGTATCTTGGGCATACAATGCTATGTTTTCCATTTCACTCTGAACACAATGGAGTTTGGCCAGTACATCATTGTCTGGACGCGGAAAATTTTGAAGCTTTTCCATAGCCTCTTCCAAAGCAGAGAGCAAGTTGGAGTCATGTGGAAGTTTAAGCATCCTTCTGAGAGATGGCAATAATCCACAAAGAACAAGTCTCACATTCGGGATAGGATCAACTGAAAATTTGGAGGAAAATTAATGTTTGACATTATTAGTTGGATATAGATATTAGATATAAACATAAGAAAGAGTTACAAGACTACTTGTTCATAGCGAACTGGATTTTTACATTCCTGAGCGCACACAGTCACGCCTAGGTCAACCCTTACACTATGCAGAAAATTTTTCATCTAATAAATAATGTGCATTCTAATATCTCTATATATTTTACCTGCAAGAGTTAAAAGACGCAAGAAAAAATGCTCTTTTATGTAAGCGCTGGAAAATATATCCAAGGCCATACCACACATTTTTACAAACAACAGTCGAGTATGGCAACTGTGGTGAATACACAGCTCTGCAATAGATAGGTTACATTTATTTTAAAGCATTAACAGACTTATAGAATTATTAACTACACATACCAGGTGGCTGATTTACGCCGCACACATTTGTAGTTATATACTGTACGCATTTGGGCGAGTAGGCAATCCGTATCCCAGTATAACTATGAAAAAGCGCGGCGTGAGTCAGACACCTGGTACAGTTGTGGTATTTAAAATGGTCTTTAACACTTCATTTTGGAAAGTAATCATCATTTCTTTAGAATTCATAAGATTTGTAGACCTGTAAATATTCGTTGTCGAATCTCATTCTGATTTTCCAGTTTGGAAGTATGCCGCAGAACAATTAGTAAAAGATGGGCAGAAGCCAACCGGCAAGGTAACGCTCTCTGAAAAATGAAAGGAAATCTATTTAATGAAGTTTATTTGACTGAAGAAAAAAAGGCCACAAACATGCTATAGTTGTTCAGTCTGCAATTGGTTGTGTGAACCAAAGTATGTGGTATTTAATCATGAAAGAAAAAACTTACAGCATCTTGAATGCGATGAAAAAGTATGACAGGCATGTGTGAAAACATGAGATCAGAAGGTAACACTTTTACAAAGCTCTCAAGCTGATTTAACATGGCTGAGTGCAGCCTCCAGTCATTGGTAAGACTCAGGGACGCCTCACATTTTAATAAATTCCTCAATAAGTCAAGTGCAAATGTATCCTGGAAAATTAGAATAGTAGTAACAGTTATATAAGTTGTTACAAAGTTAGGATAGGGTGAGGGTCTTAACTATGGTGACCTTAAGAGGCCTAATTAACTCACGCTTAATGTGGGACCAATGATTAAATTCTTCGTAAGTTGGTCCGAAATGGAAGATAAATTAGGAACAAGAGCTTGCAGAACATCTCGCGATTCATCAGAAAGGAGCATGAATAAGTCTGCCTTCAAAGCAAGACATTTAGGTGCCAACACCTTAAAAACCTACATTTGAAATGATTTAGGACAAACTTTCAGAACTTTTCATTTTAAGAATAATACTAAGACATGAGAAAGGGGGGACCCTTTCACGACTAAGACAGTCAGTTCTTCATTTACCTCATGGATTCCTGCAGCAATTATTCGACGTACATAAAATGAGTGGTCACAACATAGAGTAGTGTAGGTTGAATGAAGCATTTCTTCAAATACACATGGACCTGTAAATTGTGCAATACCAGGAAAATTGTATGCACAATTAATACGGCATTGCAATAAGAGGTCAGCATGTTCCTTTTCTCTAATTAATTCAGGGACACTCTGTCGGACAAGAAAATAAGAGTTATAATATTATGAGAGAAAATTATTATTGTAACTTCGAGTGGAAGTCAGTGTTTCTTACCTTAATGTCATGAAGTGATGACGTTTTTCCTACACCAAGGTTTGTCATCTCTCGGAAGAATGATATAAACCAGGACATTTCATTTTCAGTGAAAGCATCTGATAAAATTACCCTCAAATTAGTTAAAAGAGAAAAAGATTCATCAAAATTATTGCACCACTCATTTAACTCTTAACTTACTTTTCAGGCCAACACAAATTTGCCCATATTTCTCACTGATGGCACACAGTACTCTATCTTCTTCAGATATAGCTAGTTCACAAAGCTTTCTCAGGAGTGGTATAATTGTGTGTTTCAAAACATCTAATCAATACGAAAGGTTAGTACAGTTAAAATATGAAAATAAATAGTTTCTAAAACAAAAGATCAGTGTAAGAGTGTTACCTCCAGGCAATATTGAAACCAATTCACTAATAGCATGTACTGCAGCAATGCGAACATACTGCTCTTCATCTACAGATAATTCTACAAGTAGTGGCAAAAGTGCAGGCTTTGTTGCCTCAGGTGATAAACCCCGAGCAATGTAAGGAAGCTGATGACACATACTTCCACGGACCTCTCCACTTACATCTTGACAAAGCGAATGTGCTAAAGGTACAATCTCCTTCTGTAATCTGAAAATTAGCAAAGAAGTGTTGTCATCAGCTAAACAAAGTCTGTTATTTCTCTCATGTTCAAAATGAGACTCACTGTGTGCAATCAAATTTGGTGGCTATCTTTCCTAAAAGCTCACAACTAGTAACACGAGATAATATGGATTGGCAGAGCTGACCTCGAGCAACTGCAACTGGCAAGATCTGAAAAAGAAACAAGATTGTAATAAATACGTGATAGGCAAATGGAGTAAATTAAAATGTAATTGAAATGTACTTACATCATTCTTCACTACATGAGGTGGTAGCAATTCAATAATGTCCAAGAGTGTATCAAGCCATGCCTTTGATAAATCTAATTTGAAAAAATAAACAAATATTACATTGCACGACTATTAAAAAGAAAAGCCATATACATTCCACTATTTGGAATTATTTACATACATGGATCACGACTGTCAATGGAGGCTACAATACTGGACAGAAATGTCTGGGTAAATGTGGCTGGAGGTACTAATTTTTGCTCCAAAATTGTTCGAAATGTGTTTGAAGCAATCATATGGAATTCAGCACCATCTCCTGGTATAGCCTGCAGAACATTTGTTTCTATTATTTAAAATTCTTAACAGCATCAAAAACAATTCAGTAAAAAATAGTCAATTTTAAGTAAATGACGTACTTGTTGCAATTTGGGAACCATTTTGTCAATACAGGCTGCATCTCCGTTAGAAAGCAAATGAGGCAACGCCTCAACAATGTTGAGGCGTTGCAATTCGTCCCCAGCACTGAAACAAAGAAGGATATTGTGTATTAAATTGTTTGTATGTGTACATTATAGGGAAATAATTTGAATCTGAAGGTACTGGTAATTTCTATGGGTTAGTTGCGAGTACTAAGCTTATTCCATAACTGATTATACTATTTTACACAAAGTTGAGGGAAGCCTAAATACCTTCAATAACATATATATCCCTTGAAATATAGAAGTGCCTAACCTATATCCAACGAGGGGTTGGATATTGAAAGATAATCCTAGGGCAAATGACAGCTATTGAGTGACAGCCATCACAGTCTAGCAAAATGATGAGAAAATACAGACTTTAGGAACCATTATTTGAAACATTTTATAAGAAACAACATTGATTAGTCAAAATGACCATCAGCTCCCTACAAGTTTACAGTTCAATAGATGACTCATAGTCTTAGAGAACCCTTCATGGTTAACTTTCATTCATAAAACATAAATAAAATTGAACATTATACATAAAAACATAATAGTACATTCTAGTTGCAGCAGAAACTTTTGGTGACAGCACTCATCCTCGACCACAACGCAACTCGTAAATCCATGTGGAGAACCAATGTCAACTTACCTCATGGTGAAATTACGCAGTACTCCCTCCAACCGGAGTGAAGTCACGGTAGTCCATTCATGTTTACATGTTTAGTAACGGTGTAAAACACTTTCTGAGGGCAGACGAAGTGCCAGCCCTTCTGTCTCCACGAGCTTCCTTTCTGCACTGTACTGCTGCACTCCCCCCACCCACTTCCCTCATCCCCCTCCCTCCTCACACCTGTGACGCCCCTGTGACTAACTCGGAGGAGGGAGGAGAGGGGCACCGAAGAAGGGGACTAGGGAGGGGGAGGGGAAA